TGAGGTGGAAGGAGCACTGGATGGAGAGTCCCAGTGCAGCCCTGACTTGCTGTGTGGCCTTAGAAAGACACTTTCCCTCTCTGGTCTCCAGTCTTCACTTGGAAGAAACAGGGATTGAATAAATGATTGCTAAGGGTGTGAGTCTATGACTGTAACATTCCATGGCCCTGACACCACCCTCCACCTCAGGTTCTTTCCACAGCTTGTCCATGGGACAGAAGACCTGGGTTCAAATCCCACCTCTGACACCCATCTACTTTTTCACCCAGGGAAGGTGCCCCCTGCCCCTTCTCTAAGCCACAATATTCTTAGCTGAAAAATGGGAATGAGGACAGACTCCTCCCAAGGTCATTGTGAAAAATGAATGTGAGGATATAAAGTGCTTTTCCCAATGGCCGGCACGTAGCAAGTTCGCAGGAGATATGAGCCCTCCTTCCCCCACAGGCCCCTGTAACGCACCTGCTATCTATATATGGTCAGGAGTGCGTAGAGGGAAATTATCCTGGCATCTTGGCCAGAGCTCAGCTCTTTGTGAAACACCTTACACAGGATCCGGTTGCAGAGCAGTCAGTCAGTCTCGGTCGCCGCCTAATCGCAGGCTCTGTGTACCAGGGGCACCCCCAGCCTTGGGTTTTGTTTGGCCGCAATAGCTTTCTCGAGGAGCCAGGTTGTGCCAGTTTAGCCCAGCTGGGGATTTAGCCCTGAAGCCACATTCAGAGGTGGGGCCGCCCTCCTGCCAAGGTTTGTAGGGCAAAGGGAGAGATTGCTTCCCTGAGAAAGGAGGGAACTTGGCCTGTTGAAATAACCTGAAAACCAACTTGCTGAAACTCCCAGAGCCATGTCAGTAAAGACATAACTGGATGCAGGCCAATTACCATAATCACAAGGGCTGCCCTGATTCTTTAGGTATATTAGTGTATCTTAAATGCCTTAAAATGAAGGAAATTCTTAGCTTGGAAATCTCATTATCAGAAAGAAACGTATTGTCCAGAGGATTTATTCTGATAATACCATTAATGCCAGATCAGGGAATATGTAAAAGAGAAGTTCTAACATAGCCCAGCTCTGCCACTTAGCAGCCGTGTGATCTTGGGCAAGTTATTTAACTAACAAGTATAAATAAAATTATTTGCTTACAGTACTGTCACAGTACTGTCATCATTGCTATTATTCCTACATACAGGACCTTTCCTCAAAAAAAAAATTTCCACATGTGTAATTTTTCAATTCAATTTTAGGGACTTTGGCGACCTCTCAGGTCCTATCTGTGGTCTCTGGAAGGCCCTGAGACCAGGGAAAGCACAGTGACTGTTCAGCCAGGAGACCTGGTTCTCGGTTTGATACTGCTACTAAGTCCCTATGTGTCCCTGGACACATTGTTTACCCTGCCTGGGGACCAGCACAAGTTTTTCCACCTGTACAGACCGAGGATCGAATTATTTGCAGGTTTCTTTTAACTCTACGGGTTTGTGTTTCTGCAAGGTGAGCTTATCACTGTGCACCCGGAGGTAATCTTTGCATCTGGGGTTCAGGGTATGATGTACCACCTTTCAGTTCTTGGGTCCCCATCTGAGCCCTAAGGCCAAGCTTGCCCTACATGTTTGGTGACTTTGCTTCTCTATGCCTCAGTTTCTTCAACTCTAACATGGGGGTTAAGGGTATTACCTCCATTATAGAGTTGTTGAGAGATTAATTAATACACACCAAAACACAAATACAATACAAAAGCTTGGGACAGTGCCTGGCCCAAAGTAGGTCTTAGCAAATGTTAGCTAACACTCTGCTAGAGGTTGATGCTGATCACCTCATAATAACATGATCAGCATCTAACTTTTATGAAGTGGTTACTAGATTTAGGCACATCTAGTCTTCTCATCTGATGCTCATAACCATCCCCTGAGGGTTTCCAGAGGAAGAAACAAAGTCAGAGGGGTGACATAATTCACCCAAGGTCACATAGCTGGTCGGTGGCACCATCTGATTCAGCTGCCATATCCAGTCTGAACACCACTTTCGGTATTCCTCAAGGCATGGTTGACCATCCCAAGTTCCCTCTTTAATTCTGATAAAAGCAGTAAAGATAATTCTTTTATGGGGCTTGCTCAGCCTTTACTAGGAAAGGTCTCTAGCTCTCCTAGAGATATGCTGTCCCTCCACCACCTGGAGCAGAGGAGCTTTAAAAAAAGGAGCGGTGGCAATGATAAGGATAAGAAACACCCTCTCATGGGACATAAGGTATCAGTGAGTGAAATTTATTTGTGGATCCATGGGACGGCAGCACGGCGTCTTGCTCATCACTAGGTATCTGTGGCTTCAGCCTGGGAGTTGGCCCAAATCTGCGTTTTGGCATTAGCCGCCGTCACTGGAGGGCTGACGTGGAACACCAACTCAGGGCCTTTTCTGGCATCCCAGAGCATGAGCGTGGCCAGTGGCAGTATGAGGGCATAGACTGGTATCCAGCCAGCGGGTAAAGTCAGTAGTCTACATTTAGATTTACTGTCACGTGTTGAATTCTGACTTCCAAATATAGGAAGCCTTGTAGATGCAACTCAGGGCCAGTGTCTCCTCTTGTCCTGTAGATGTTGAAATTCAGACAACTAAAGTAGTTGCAGGAGTAAAACGCTTGATAATTGATGATTTGGGAAAGCTATTCATTTTATGTACAAAGCAAACATTCAAGTACTTAAGGAAATAGGGAAATTGGTTGGCAGTTCAGGTGAACACAGAGGGTGCCTTAGCTAAATAACTTTAGGAAAAATACTTTTTTTTTATTCAGCAAATGTTTATAAATATTTAGATAATACAAAGCAGAATACCGAAGGTTAGAGTATATCATCCATTTTGTAAAATTGATTTGTTAGAGTAGCATTTAAATATCTTCAAGAACCAGATTTACTTTTTAGTCGCTTTAATCCCTTTAGGCCATGAGCGGTCCTTTCTGTAAACTCAGCTAAAAGTGATGACTATCTAATATAGACGTGCAGATGTCACTGTGGGAACAATCTAGAAGCAGATGGTGCCAAGAAATGTCAGCGCTCCAACTCAAGAATTTGACTTGTTCTTAATAAATCTGCAGTAATCATTAAAATTTTATAACACTTTAGATTTGTTCTAATGTCCCAGAAGTTTGATTCTTGATGGCAATTGGTCTATACTCCAACTACATACTTTTATTTAGCCGAACTTTCTGTTCCATGCCCCTCTGGTTTTCATAGATGTGTACAGTGAGTGGAAAAATAGATCACTGCAGCAAGATAAGATACATCCAATCCTTGTTAGATTGATTAGGCTCTATTCAAGAATCCCCAGGTCCCAAGCCCTGGGCAAACCACTAAGTGTGGAGAGCAGGAAAGTCTCCATCTGTGCCCTGAAGGCTTGGCCCAGCGATTTTCAGACTTGAGATCCAGCAGATCCCTTGTCACAGGTACAGTTTCCTCACCTGCACGCCCAGAGCTCTGTCCCAGGAATCTGTGCTTTTAACAGCTACCTCCTGGGGATTCTGATGCAGTTGATCCAAAGTCCACCCTTTGAAAATCAGTGGTCTGGACTTCCAGGCTAATACAGTAGGGAGGGCTAGAGGGGGCCCAGAGTCAGCACATTTAGGCAGCCTGGCAGCTCAGGCAGGCTTCCTGGAGAAGATGACTCTTGAATGACGAGTCATGTTCAACCACACCAAGGAAGGTGAGAGGGTCCTGGGAGGCCTGGGAAGGTGCCGAGGTGGAGGCAGGTGCCTGCAGGCACTTCAGCATTTCTGGAGGGCAAAGTGCAAGTGAGGAAGTGATGAGGGATGGAGGCTACAAAGGAGGCAGGGACCAGGTCCCAGAGGGTCAGAGGGTCATGCTGGAGAGGTTACACTGCCCTCGGTGGGGAGGGAGGCAGACAGCCGTGGTCATTCCTTCCTGATCGACCTTGGCTGCCAAGGTGGTGCTGCCACCATCCTTCCATTTCCAGTCCCCAAGTGAGAAAATCGAGGCTCAGAGGAGTTGGGGAACCAGCAAGATGGTGGCACAGCTGGGCCCAGATTCCCCCACCCCAAACTCACAGGCACCAGGTAGTGTTTGGGTGCATTGCTGCTCTTCACAGGCCGGCTGCTTGTTCTATGCACTTTCCTGTTAACCGTCCGCAGCAGCTTGCACTTCTCCTTAAGTCTTGAACTCCACAGAAAGCGACTAATTGCCAGGCTTCCTGTTTGCGCTGAATGGTGCTTGCAATTAAGGGCCAGCACCCTTAACTGAGATATAAATATATCTCCAACCTGTGTTTAGGAAGAAATTATTGTAATAATGAAAGGAATGCTAATAGCAATAAACATATTGAGCAATTTTTCCATATTCCCACCAATGTATGTGGATTATCTCATTTACTCTCACAAAACCCCCAGGAATTCAGTGCTATTATCTGCACTAGGATGAGGAAACTCAGATAGGACAAGTAATTTGTGCATAGTCACAGAGTAAGTGGCTCTAGCCATCAAGAGAGGCTAGGTTTTGCTGCAGTAACAAGTGACCTCCAAGTGTCGATGGCTTACAGTAAATGTTCCCACTGCCTGGCCTACAGATTGGCTGTGGCTTTAGTCCCCGCTGTCTTGAATCTGAGTCCCAGGTTAACAGAGTGACCTTACCTGGAACATTGCTGGTCTCAGGGCAGAGCAAAAGGACACTTACCAGGCCCCTGCACTGACTCAAACATTTTGCCAGAAGTGACACGCATCCCTTCCACCCACATTTCATTGGCTAAGGCGGGTCATGGACCACTCAGTTCAGCAAGGCAGGGATGAAGGATCTTTCCTTAGGGACCGACCAGTGCAGGGAGGGCCCACTGAATCCTCACAGGGCAGTGTTACACCACTGCAGCTACAGAGGTGGGATGCAAGCCTACGTTTACAGGTTTGAATGCTGACCTCAGAACCCATGCTTTTCATCACCACCCTGCCTTCCCCTTTGCTGTGTGCGTTTGGCTTAGCTTCAGTCCCATCTGATGGCACGAACTTCAGTCACGGACACCTAGCAGCTGAGGTGCACGGAGGTGCACAGAGACTTTCAGCTTTGGTTTCTGCTTCTCTGTAGTGAAGCAGCTGCAGACAGCCATGCTGAATAGCCAGGAGGGGCTTAGGAGAAAAGTGTGTTGAGGCGAGCTGGCAGAGAACCGAAAGCGTAGCAGATCCCCATGTGCTCAACCCAAATCCCATTTCTTTTCAATGACTGGAGGATGAGCTATTTCTCAGTATAATGTGTGAAAAGAGAATGGAACAAACATGAATTGGTTGAATGCCGCATTGTTCTGCTCCCCATATGTGGCACCTGGAAGTACCAGCATGCAGCCTACTCTCTCTAAAACTTTGTTGATTGAATGGACAAAGAAATGAATTTAATCTTTACAAATCAACAACCTTAAGCGGGAGATGTTATAACCCGCATCTTACAAAAGAGGACACGGAGGCCCAGGGAGATGCAGTAGCATGGTAACAGCAGCCGGGTAATCGCCACCTGCAGGTCCATGTGCTCAGTGCCTGCCCTGCATTCTCTTTGCTGAGCCCCACAGCCCCTCAGCAGCTGGGCACTATTATCCCTTAACTCATCTGAAATATGGGGACAATCATACAACTGCTGGTTAGATAAGATTAACCATGCACCTTACAAAGCACAGCAGCTGGCGTAGGAATCCCTCAATAAATATTAACCATCCTTTTATTGTCATCATTATCCACTATCACTCTTACATCAAGTCGTTGTCCAAACTCCAGCTTCAGTTCAGAGTTCATGCTCATAATGCCCGCAACGAACTCATTCCGCTCCTACTGCCCCAAGGTGCTCAGGGCCAAATGTCCAACAGGAAACCAGGTTTGCTGACACCCCTGAGCGCTCCTCAGGATTCGCCTGACCCCAATTCACTCCAAATGCTTCTGTTTTGTTAAATTGTATAGCTTGTCAATTTCAAGTCCGAACAGTTCTAGCTATTGCAAGTTCTCCAATGCAGACATTTCTCAAACCCTTTTTCAAAATGATTATTCTGAAGGAATTGGTTTCCAAACGCCCCAGAGAGAAGGGGTATCAGAGAGCTGAGTTGGGGTGGCAGGGGGCAAGGAGAGGGAGGCCATGGAGTCTGTGATTCTCTTCGGTACTCATGCTGGGTCCATCTGTTTAAAGATATTTTTTGTGCTTCTTTTGCTATTATTATTATTTTTTGTCTTTTCATCATTCAAATTGCAACCCTGTTAGGATGGATCTGTTAGGTAAGTAGCACATTCCACACACTGGGATTCCCCGGCTGGGTTTCAGAATGTTTTCAACTTTTTAAAACCACCAATGGGCCCAGGGTGACTTCGGTACCTTGCTCTGCAAGGCAGAGTATCCAGCATTGATCCCAGTTTGGGGGTTGGCGGGGCAGGGAGGTCTCAGGGGGTCGGGAGCAGAGCCAGCCCTAAAGAACAACTTCTTCCCTGCCCAGAATGGCTGAGGCAGCCCGGAAGAAGAAAGAAAACCGGAGGAAATGGAAGCGCTATCTCCTGATAGGTTTGGCGACTGTCGGAGGCGGGACGGTGATTGGTAAGACCGCTTGAAATGAGACGGTGGCACATGGGCCAGGGCAGTGCATGTGGAGGGGTGACACCAGGCTTGGAGGACAGTGGAGAGGGCAGGGGAATCAGCCAGGAGCTGCTCTGTGAGCAATGTATCTGCTACCTTCTTAGAAGCATCTATGGAAGCAGTGGGCAGCAGATGGGGGAAGAATCCAGCAGGCCACATCCTCACTCCCACCTTTACCCCCTTGGGTCGCCTTCCTTGCAGGTGTGACTGGGGGTCTAGCTGCCCCTCTCGTTGCCGCTGGCGCCGCGACAATCATTGGCAGTGCCGGGGCAGCCGCTCTGGGCTCGGTGGCTGGCATAGCTGTCATTACCTCACTGTTTGGCGCAGCTGGAGCTGGTCTGACAGGTAAGCTTCAAAAGGAGCAGTGACCTGTTAGGCATTTTCAGCCAGAGTGGCCCAGCTCCCAAAGGAAACACCAGACTCTCACCAGCTCCCTAGGAGACAGGAGGACACGGCCCTTCTCGTGCTGGGTCACACCCCTGCCAGAACTTGCAGCAGGCTTCACAGAACTAGTCCGGTGGCTTGGCATGGGTTGGGGGAAGGGCCAAGTCTGGGAAGCTGCACCTTGTGTAGACTTCTGAGAAGGATCCAGTTGGACCTGCTTGTCACCATCCAGGAGGTTTCCAGGTAGGCCTCCTCGTGTTTAAAGACCATGTGGCTACCTTTCATTTACCAGCATCACCTGGGGGATTTTTTCCAGATCATCTGTTCAGCAGCCTCCCATTCACATGGAGACTCCTGTTCCATTTCCAAAGCGGGTCCCTCTCTCTCCCTGTGTTGAGAATCTCGGTCGGTTGAACACGCTTCCCCTGAGAGCGCATTACACTCCTGAAGTTTGTGGGCAGGAAGAAGAGAACCGACCGAGCCAGGGTGGGGCAGTGGTTGCAAGCCCGGGCTCTGAGTTCCAGCCCAGCTCTGCACACGGGGGCCGTCCAGCCTTTGGAAGTCTCAGTCCCTTGCCTGTAACTGGGGACAGAAATGGCACCTACCTCAATGAGTTCAGAACCAGGATGCAGCCTGCACTTGCTGTGTGGTTGTGTGAGCCTGGAGAGCTGCTCAGACTAGTACTCCCCGGGGTCCCCAGGCATCTCCATTCTTGTTTTTCATCTGGGTCTTCAGGGTACAAGATGAAGAAGCGCGTCGGAGCCATCGAAGAGTTCACATTTCTGCCTCTGACGGAGGGCAGGCAGCTGCACATCACCATTGCCATCACGGGGTGGCTGGCATCCGGCAAATACCGTGAGGCCCGGGGCAGAGCAGAGAAGGATGCGGGCTTGGCAGCGGGGTTGGGGGAGTGGCAACCATTGTCTGAGCTGGACCAGCTATGGTGGACCAGACCCTGGCCTAGGCTCTTGCTTGTCTATGTCTCTAGGCTGTTTGGGGGCTCCATTTTGCAGAGGAGTAAACTGAGGCTCAGAGACGTAGGTGACTGCATCCCACATCCATCTACTGACCTTCTGTTCTTCCACCCATCCGTTCCCACCCATCTACCCATACCCCCACCCACTCATTCATCCATCCACCCACCTACCCATCTACCCATACCCCCACCCACTCATTCATCCATCCACCCACCCACCCATCTACCCATACCCCGAATCTACTCATTCATCTATCCACCCACCCACCCATCTACCCATCTACCCACACCCCCATCTACTCATTCATCCATCTACCCACCCACCCATCCATCTACCCTCCACCCAGCAGTATTTGTAGAGTACCATCCACACCATGTACCAGACAGTGAGCCAGGCCCTAGGAATTCAGTCATGGTCTTTGCTCCAGGGGACAGACCACTGAGAGGTAATAGCACAAGAGGGGAAGCTCAGAGTGTTCCTGGGGAACTAGGGAAAGGTTCCTGGAGGAAGTGACATTTAGGCTAAGGACTGGCTGGGAGTTAACAGGGTGAAGAAGGAATGAGAAGTGTAAACCAAGCCAAGGGGTAGCACATACCAAGGCCCAGTGGTGCCAAGGTAATAGAACCAAAAAAAACCCAGGACGGCCAGACAAGGGAGCTGGAAGGCAGGAGCGTGGGCGGAGCCAGATCACACAGAGCATGTGGGCCGTGGAGATGAGGTTGGATTTATCCTCAGAGCAAGTGGAAAATAGCAAAGGACTTTAAGCATGTGACTTAGAGTCAAAAGTAGTAAGAAGTCAGTACATCTTGGCTGCATGGCCTCCAGCAAGTTACTTAAACTTTCTGTGCCTCAGCTGAGTCATTTGTAAAGTAGAACAAATTATTCCTACCTTTTGGTATGCTTACAAAGACTAAATTAAACAAGGTAAGGGAGGGAAACCCCTGGTGTCTAACTGGCATTTCACAGACATCAGTTCCCTTTGCTGCTGTAGTCTGCATGTGTGTGTGTTTCGGGGGATTCTAACCAGGGAGGCACTGAGGACTAACACCAGGGTCACTCACTGCCTGGCTCGCTTCTGCAGGTACCCCGCGAGGCTCCACAAACAGTTTATCACCCAGAGAGAGAGCAGGGCGGGCCAGGGGATCTGAATCACCCAGCCAGACACACATGTGACAGCCTCCTGGGTTCCCAATCTCTGGGCTCCAAGGCTGGAAGCCACAGCTCTTCTAAATGACACAGAGGTCGCAAGTGGGGAAATGTGCAGGCTCTGTGTAGAGGCGTTATCAGGCGTTAGTGTTTTGTGGGTGTGTGGCCGCTAGGCCCCTTCCCCACACAGTGGGGACCTTAACTGAGTACCTAGTGCACACCTCCCCGAGTCAGGCATCTTACCCACACAGTAGGAACTTGCTCTGTGTTACCCCATGTGATCCTCACATCTGCCCTCTGGGGTGTCCTTCTCATCTGGCAGAAGACAAAGCCTAGAGGGATCACATGACAGGTGAGTGGCAGTTGAGGGATTCAAACCCAGGTCTCCTGACTCAAATATCAGGGTTTCTTTCCATTTGTTTTCACTATACCATGTTACAGCAAAGACCAAGACCAGAAAGTAGGAGCAAGAACCAGAGCCGACACAAAAGAATGTGTGACTTTGACCAGTATGGGAAGCGAATCCCTTATCTTTGTTTAAACCCATCAACTCCATTGCCCCGGGTCAAAGGTCAAGCTCATTTTAGGGGGAGGACATCACCTTCAGTGTCCTCCTCCAGCAGCCTCATGCGGTCCGCAGCCCAGGCAGAAGGGTGGTTCAAAGGAATATAACCAAACTCAATTAAGTTCAGGAAAGAATCACCGTTACCTGTCTCATTGAGAGCCAGGAAAGAAGGCTTAGTGTCTTCACAGGCCTGCGTCTGCAAGTGGTGGGAATAACTGGGCTTTCCCCAACCCACCCCTTTATAAGTAGGATTACGTGTAGTAATGATACTAGTGTTGTAGCTAACCACTTGCCATGAGCCAGGCACTTACCCGAGCATTTTGCATGCATCGGCTCACCCTTTACTTCAAGGAGATGGGCATCGTTGCCCATTTTAGACATGAGGAAACTGAGGCTTATAAGGGCTGCCGAGGCTCACACAGCTGGCCGGGGACAAGCAGGACTCACCTCCATGCCGTCTGGCTCCACAGCCTGCTTCCTCGGCCACAGGATGATGCAGTGCAGTACAGCACATCACGGTGTACGTGCTGTTCTCAGGCAGCACCTCGCATGGTCTCCACGACACCCCTGAAGCAGGTGGTGTCATCTCGTTCCTACAGATGTAGAAACCGAGGCTCAGAGGGGCAGCGTGCCTTGCTGTGAGTCATGCAGCCAGTAAGTGGCCGAGCTGGGTCCAGAACCCAGGCTGGTGTCACAGTCATGCCCTCTGCTCCCCTCTGTCTGGAACCTGGCCATCTCCTCCTCCATAGCGACTGCTAATCCCTGAGCTCTTGCAGAGCTGTGATGGGGCCCCTGCGGAGGGGGAGGGAGCAGCGCCAGGTGGCCTTCGTGTCAGTGTAGCATCATCAGGTAGGGCGAGCCCTTGGGGTCGGCGAAGGAGAGGCATCTAGCTGATGTCCAGAGCCCAGAGCCTCTGGGAAGCTGCCTCCACTCACGCATTCATTCGTTCCTGATGTTTTCATAAGCGCTTACTACACACCGTGTCACTAGGCCTTGGGAATCCAGTGCTTGGGCAGCAGGCGGTGGGAGACGGTGTGCATTAAACAGGATGCAGAACAAGCGTGTGGCCGCAGACTGCTGAGAGCTTACGGGGCAAGGCCCAGGGTGCATCTGAGCCGTCAGAAGGCCAGGAAAGCTTCCGTGGAAGGGGCAACACCACTAGAAGCCAAGGGCAAGAAGGCACAAACTAGGGAAAGGATGTTGTAGGCAGGGGTGGGAGGGGGCTTGTGTTTGGAAAAGGTCACGTGGGCCACAGGCAGAAATGCATGGGGGGCCAAATTAGGTGTCCCTCTGTGCCCCCTCAGTCCCATTTCCTGCTCCCAGAATAGAGTAACCATGTGATGTTCACACATCTCTCTCTCTCCGGACTGAGAGCTCTTTTTATCCAGTTGGCTGTTTCCTCAGCTGTGAAATGGGGCTAATTGTGGTACCGTATTTCAGAGGCTGTGGAGATTAAACGAAAGCATGCAAGTGAAAAGCACAGAGCTTACTATATGCTCTCCAGACGTTTCTATGGGGATCATCTGTATCAGGGTCAAGCTCCAGGCCCGGCATTAACCCTGTTGATGTTTGTGGAATGAATGAGTGAGTGAATGAATGAACAAACCGATAAATCAAAAATGTGTTTTCATGGAGCAAAGTGTAAGTGAAGTGGGCAGGGGCAGGTCCTGGAGAGCCTGAGTGTGTGCTGGCGAGGCGACACTGTCCTCAGTGGGGAGGGAGGGAGGCAGGGAGGGAGAGACAGAGGCAGACAGCTGTGCTTATCGCTCCCTGTTTGATATTGGCCACTATGGTGGCAGTGTCACCATCCTTCCATTTCTAGTCCCAAAATGAGAAAATTGAGGCTCAGGAAAAAGAGAGAGAGCAGGGCGGGCCAGGGGATCTGAATCACCCAGCCAGACACACATGTGACAGCCTCCTGGGTTCCCAATCTCTGGGCTCCAAGGCTGGAAGCCACAGCTCTTCTAAATGACACAGAGGTCGCAAGTGGGGAAATGTGCAGGCTCTGTGTAGAGGCGTTATCAGGCGTTAGTGTTTTGTGGGTGTGTGGCCGCTAGGCCCCTTCCCCACACAGTGGGGACCTTAACTGAGCACCTAGTGCACACCTCCCCGAGTCAGGCATCTTACCCACACAGTAGGAACTTGCTCTGTGTTACCCCATGTGATCCTCACATCTGCCCTCTGGGGTGTCCTTCTCATCTGGCAGAAGACAAAGCCTAGAGGGATCACATGACAGGTGAGTGGCAGTTGAGGGATTCAAACCCAGGTCTCCTGACTCAAATATCAGGGTTTCTTTCCATTTGTTTTCACTATACCATGTCACAGCAAAGACCAAGACCAGAAAGTAGGAGCAAGAACCAGAGCCGACACAAAAGAATGTGTGACTTTGACCAGTATGGGAAGCGAATCCCTTATCTTTGTTTAAACCCATCAACTCCATTGCCCCGGGTCAAAGGTCAAGTTCATTTTAGGGGGAGGACATCACCTTCAGTGTCCTCCTCCAGCAGCCTCATGCGGTCCGCAGCCCAGGCAGAAGGGTGGTTCAAAGGAATATAACCAAACTCAATTAAGTTCAGGAAAGAATCACCGTTACCTGTCTCATTGAGAGCCAGGAAAGAAGGCTTAGTGTCTTCACAGGCCTGCGTCTGCAAGTGGTGGGAATAACTGGGCTTTCCCCAACCCACCCCTTTATAAGTAGGATTACGTGTAGTAATGATACTAGTGTTGTAGCTAACCACTTGCCATGAGCCAGGCACTTACCCGAGCATTTTGCATGCATCGGCTCACCCTTTACTTCAAGGAGATGGGCATCGTTGCCCATTTTAGACATGAGGAAACTGAGGCTTATAAGGGCTGCCGAGGCTCACACAGCTGGCCGGGGACAAGCAGGACTCACCTCCATGCCGTCTGGCTCCACAGCCTGCTTCCTCGGCCACAGGATGATGCAGTGCAGTACAGCACATCACGGTGTACGTGATGTTCTCAGGCAGCACCTCGCATGGTCTCCACGACACCCCTGAAGCAGGTGGTGTCATCTCGTTCCTACAGATGTAGAAACCGAGGCTCAGAGGGGCAGCGTGCCTTGCTGTGAGTCATGCAGCCAGGAAGTGGCCGAGCTGGGTCCAGAACCCAGGCTGGTGTCACAGTCATGCCCTCTGCTCCCCTCTGTCTGGAACCTGGCCATCTCCTCCTCCATAGCGACTGCTAATCCCTGAGCTCTTGCAGAGCTGTGATGGGGCCCCTGCGGAGGGGGAGGGAGCAGCGCCAGGTGGCCTTCATGTCAGTGTAGCATCATCAGGTAGGGCGAGCCCTTGGGGTCGGCGAAGGAGAGGCATCTAGCTGATGTCCAGAGCCCAGAGCCTCTGGGAAGCTGCCTCCACTCACGCATTCATTCGTTCCTGATGTTTTCATAAGCGCTTACTACACACCGTGTCACTAGGCCTTGGGAATCCAGTGCTTGGGCAGCAGGCGGTGGGAGAGGGTGTGCATTAAACAGGATGCAGAACAAGCGTGTGGCCGCAGACTGCTGAGAGCTTACGGGGCAAGGCCCAGGGTGCATCTGAGCCGTCAGAAGGCCAGGAAAGCTTCCGTGGAAGGGGCAACACCACTAGAAGCCAAGGGCAAGAAGGCATAAACTAGGGAAAGGATGTTTTAGGCAGGGGTGGGAGGGGGCTTGTGTTTGGAAAAGGTCACGTGGGCCACAGGCAGAAATGCATGGGGGGCCAGATTAGGTGTCCCTCTGTGCCCCCTCAGTCCCATTTCCTGCTCCCAGAATAGAGTAACCATGTGATGTTCACACATCTCTCTCTCCCCGGACTGAGAGCTCTTTTTATCCAGTTGGCTGTTTCCTCAGCTGTGAAATGGGGCTAATTGTGGTACCGTATTTCAGAGGCTGTGGAGATTAAACGAAAGCATGCAAGTGAAAAGCACAGAGCTTACTATATGCTCTCCAGACGTTTCTATGGGGATCATCTGTATCAGGGTCAAGCTCCAGGCCCGGCATTAACCCTGTTGATGTTTGTGGAATGAATGAGTGAGTGAATGAATGAACAAACCGATAAATCAAAAATGTGTTTTCATGGAGCAAAGTGTAAGTGAAGTGGGCAGGGGCAGGTCCTGGAGAGCCTGAGTGTGTGCTGGCGAGGCGACACTGTCCTCAGTGGGGAGGGAGGGCAGGCAGGGAGGGAGAGACGGAGGCAAACAGCTGTGCTTATCGCTCCCTGTTTGATATTGGCCACTATGGTGGCAGTGTCACCATCCTTCCATTTCTAGTCCCAAAATGAGAAAATTGAGGCTCAGGAAAACTGAGTCAGCCAGCAAGATCATGGCAGAACTGGGCTCAAATACCTCTGCCCCAGCTCCCAGACTACTTCCCAGGCAGTGTCTGTTGAGTGAGACCCACTGATCCACAGAGCCAGCTGTTTCCTATTGTACAGCCTCAGTAGCTTGATGCCAGAATTCCTGCAGGGTGAGAGAAAGCAGCACTTTACATATTATAGTAGTTCAAATACTCAATTCCTGCAACTACTCTATGAAGGGAGATAAATATTAATCTCCCCACTGCACAGATAGGCAGAGTGAGGCTCGGGGTGGATAGCGGTCACCCCGCTACTGATGAAGGCAGGAGTGAGGACGCACAGCCCGGCCTGCCGACTCACAGGGCGGCCCTGTGCTCGGTCCAGGAGCTCTGCCTGCTCCACTAACAGCTGCTCCCCACTGGCAGAGGCCCAGCCCCTTGTCTTCTGCTAAGATGAATGGTACCCTGCTGCTGATCTGGGAAAATGGGGTGGGGCACCCTCATTCCCAGCCAGGAGAGAGTCCATCTACCTATGTTCTCTCCAGGCACCTTCAGCGCCCCGTGGGCAGCCCTGGCCCGCAGCCGCGAGCAGTACTGCCTGGCCTGGGAGGCCAAGTACCTGATGGAGCTCGGCAACGCCCTGGAGACCATCCTCAGTGGTCTGGCCAGCGCGGTGGCCCAGGAGGCCCTGAAGTACACGGTGTTGTCTGGTAAGTCTCCCGCCTCCCACCAGCAGCATGCTCACTGCTCCCAACGCACAACTTGAGGGCCCCATTGAGCCAGGCACTGCACTGGGCCCTGGGCCCTGGGACCTCGCAGAGGTGAAGGCTGCACTCCTGTCTGTGAGATGGTTACAGGTAAACAGCCAACCACATCGTCATGCAGTCACACAATGTATCAGTGAGCTATTGCCATGTAAAAGCAACCTCAAAACTTAGTAGCTTAAAATCGCAGTCGCTTCTCATAATAGCTGAGGGCTCATGAGGCTTCGTTAGACTGATGCTAGCTGGGCCTGCCCCTGCATCTGCAGGTCAGCCAGCTGTCCGCCATCTACGCTGGCCTTGCCTGGGGCAGCCAGGGCACCTTTGCTCCATTTGTCCCTCCTCCTCCTGGTGTCAGCAGGCCCAGCCCACACCAATGGCAGAGGGCATGAGAGGTCAGCCCCAAGGCACAAGACCATTTTAGGCCTCATGTCTACTAGTGTCTCACTGGCCAAAGTGAGTCACATGACTGAGCCGGATGGATAGCAAGGGAGGGGTGGGGACGCTGCAGAATTAAGAGGCAAAGAAGGAAGATATAGAATGGAGTGACAAACTGGGGCCCTTTTGGAATCTCACTCATGACAGATGCTTGCACAGAAGGGATCTAGTCTATAAATCAAAAATGTATGAACTTCAGTTTTTTTCATTGCTTTGTAGCAGTTTGAGAACACTTGGAAAACTTCCAGTTTCCAAGTTAGAGACTCTGCACGCATTCATGGGGGCATCTGTTAGCCAGCCAGTCACTTCCCTAGCAGGACCACCACAGCCTTCATCACTGATGTCTCCCCTTACCAGGCATTGTGGCTGCCCTGACCTGGCCAGCCTCACTCCTTGCTGTCGCCAACGTCATCGACAACCCCTGGGGGGTGTGTCTCCGTCGATCAGCAGAGGTTGGCAAGCATCTGGCCCACATCCTGCTCTCCCGGCAGCAGGTACCCAGGAATGGCTGTGGGTTGGGGGCAAAATGGGGAGGGGGCTGACTCATGCACAGATGTCATCCCTAGAGACAAGCCCACATGGATATAGCCCAATGGCTTTGGTAGGGGGGGGTCCTCACTGCCCCTCAGGTATGTCACAAGTGTCCTAGGATGCACCAGTAAGAACATTATATTGCATCTCCAGCTGCCAGGCATGTGAGGACTGAATAGCAGAGGCATCTGCAGGCACAGATAAAGTCAGGTGTTCCCAGAAGTACAGAGCTACCGTCAGCCCAGATGCAAAATGGTCAGGAAGGTAAATCATCAAAATGCTTTTAAACTGTGAATCCAGTAAAGATGTACTTACCAAGGATATAAACTTCCCCCTTCAAAATAAACTTGAGTAAATGGAGATAAAAGTTCGAGAAATAGTACCAGAGGTGACTGCATGGTAGGATTAATTTTGCAAGTGAGCAAAACCCAAAATAACAGTGGCTTAAACAAGATGGGAATTTCTTTCTCACGGAGAAGCCTGGGAAAGCAGTCTCGCAGTAGAATGGGATGCCACCGTAAAGAGGCCCACGTTCCTTCTGTTCTTGCTCAGCTGCCTGTGGTCTTGACCTCATGGTTCCAAATTGCAGCACCTGAGCTCCAAGTAGCAGGAGAAAAGAAGGGCCAAAGAAGAAAGAGCAAAGGCCTTCTAGCATTTCCATTGCCATCTCATTGGCCAACCCTTATCATATGACCATATGTCTTGCAAATGTGTTTCAGCCCAGGCAAGTACACTGTGGATTCACTGAGACTGAGAAATGACAATGGAATGTTCTTGAGGTGAAAGGGTTTATCCATAACTTTATTCCCACGGTGACAGGTCAGTCCCTAGAATCCCATCCACTCAGAGCGAGTCTGCGTGCAGCAAGCTGGTCTCTGCCTCTGGGCCTCTCTGCCCCGACAGCCATCTCAGTCTCCATCCTCGGTGCTGCCACCACTCCAGTCTCTGCCCTCCTGCAGCCATACAGCTGTGCAGGCATGCAGCCATGCCACCATGCCACCCAGAGCACTGGGCGGAGCTCTTTATATAGTCACTAACAACATATTGCCCACACGTGTGTAGTGAGCTAGCTGACCAGGGCCAGGTGAGAATCCTGGCCATAGGAACCTTCACTTTATCCACACTATACCAAGTGCCACAGAAGCTGGGAAATGCAGTCTCTCTTCTGGTGTCAGTGAATCCCACTGAAACTCAATTACATGGAAAAGGGAAGATGGACAGCTAGCAGTTTCTGCCACAGTGGGTAGATCGCTTGCAGAACCAATAGCCCCCATCCAGTCCCTGTTGCTTTGGCAGGTTTGGCTGTAAAGCAAAGACCAGAGCGGAACTGGCCTAAACAAGGTGGACATTCATTCCCTCCTTGTAACATCGTCAGCATCTGGGGCCATGTGGTGTATTAGTTTCCTATGGCTGCTGTAACACATTACCACAAACTTAGTGTTTCAAAACAACACAAATGTGTTATGTTACAGCTCTGGAGGTCAGAAATCTGAAGTGGGTCCACAGGGCTACATGGCGGCCCCAGGGAGTATCTGTTTCCCTGCCTCTTCCAGTTGCCAAAGGCCACCTACTCTCTTTGGCTCACAGTCCCCTTCCTCCATCTTCAAAGCCAGCAGTGGGGCATCCTCAAATCTTTCTGGCCCTTTGCTTCTGCTGCCATGTCACCTGTAACTCTGACCCTCCTGCCTCCCTCTTATCAGGACCCTTGAGGTCACAGCAGGCCCTCCCCATAACCCAGGTTAGTCTCCCATCACACCTGCAAAGCCTCTTTGTCACATGTAACACAGGGTCTGGGGATTTGGATGGGGCCTCCGCTGGGGGCCATCACCCTGCCTCCCATGTGGGCGGCATCCCGTGTGAGGAGCCCAGATCCCTTCAGTCCTGTGACTGCACGTCCACAGCCCTCGGCCTCTCTTGTGGCCCAAGACAGATCTTCCGGCGTTATATCCTCATTCCAGACGGATTGAGGTGGGGGAGTAGAATGAAGGGCATGCCAAGAAGCCACACTAACTGCTCCCCTCCCACCCCTTGGCTACAGGGGAGCAAGGGAATCGGAGTCTTCAGCTGGGTAGCCATGAGCCCTGGCCGACTCGGAGTTCTGCTACCCGGGACAGAGGGAGGGCAGGCGTGGGGGCTCACTGGCAGCCCTCGCCACAGAGTTTCTGCAGCATCGGGCTACTATTTAACGGAGGGTTCTCTGGTGCAGTAAAAGGAGGGGAGATGGGGAGGGCGTATACCTGTATCATCAAGGAAAAGGCCTGACTGGAGCTGGGAGCGCACCTGCTCCTTCCCACTCCTTCCCTGTGGAGCTTGTACCCAAATACCCCGGATAACTTTCCTTTTCTTATGAGTTGCTTTTTCTACAAGTTCTGTCATCAGAAAGTTCCTCTTTATATGTAACTTCCTACCTTCTCTTATCACTCAATGCCAGTATTTCATGTCCTGCCTTCCTATCTAGAAACAGAACAGCTGCCATTCATGTGCTATTCTGCCTTTTTCCCATCACAACTGGGGTACCTCCCCCCTCCCACGCTGTGGCTCCACTTCACTGCAGCCATGTGCCACAAAGGAAGGTGAGTCCTGTCTCCTGGAGAAGAGGCGGCCAGATAATGGTTTGAGATGAAGGGAAATAACCCAGCCAGAGGCTGCCTGTTGGCCTCGGAAGGAGCCATCCAGCGGCAGGCACCCTCCTCCGCCTTGAGGGCCCCGCCTCTCCTGCTTAGGACACCATAGCTCAGGGAATAGCACACGCGTGATTCATCAAGTGCAAGGCAGGCGCTGAGGGCTGTGTAAGGGCTGCCCTCGGCCCCACTGGTGTTTTGCTAAAACTGGCTGTGTACCCCATGAGACACCTGTGTCCTTTCTCCCCCAGGGCCGACGACCCGTCACCTTGATTGGCTTCAGCCTGGGAGCAAGAGTCATCTACTTCTGTCTGCAAGAGATGGCTCAGGAGAAAGGTGAGGCCAGCTTATTGTCACAGGGGAAACCCGTCCCAGGTTCATCCCCCCGGCAGCAGGTTCTGGGCCAGGAGTCACCAACCTTGCAAATACGTTCCCGGTTCTTAGAAACAATGGTCAAAAGTTTAAAATAGTTCGAAAATAGACAAAATGGTTAAGTCATTTGGAAAACGGTTTATTTTTTTCTGTATGTAAATCTGAATGGATGTGAGATGGTATGCTAATGACATCAGCCTTGGTTTCTGCCGTGTGTCCTTGAGTGGAAGGGAAGGAATGGGCCCAGGAGTCTAAAATCGAGGCGTCAGCAGAGCCACATTCCCTCTGGAGGCCCTAGGGGAGCACCCGTCCTTGTCTCTTCCAGCGTCTAGCAGCTGCCAGCATGGCGGGGCTTACAGACACATCGCTTCAGCCTCTGCCTTGTCTGCAGGTCACCTCCTTCCCCTTCTCTTCTTCTAAGGACAGTGTTCTTGGATTGAGGGCCCACCTGAATCCAGGACGATCCCATTTCAGGATCCTTAGTTATATTTGCATAATTTAATTATGTCTGCAAAGACACCTTTTCCAAATAAGGTCCTATTCACATTTTCCACGTGGACATATCTTTAGGGGGGCCACAATTCCACCCACAGCAGACCCCTTTGGGAGTGTGTCCAGTGACAGACCTTCAGTGTGAGGCAGCTGAAAGCTTACGTGTTGCTGCTCTGGGCCTTGGGTGGCGACGTCCCGGGACAGAATGCCAGTTTGGGACATATCTATCAGCAGAGGCTGCATATAGGAGGGGGTTGGGAGAGTGAGGTGCAGGGTAGGGGCAGCTGGGTGGCCCACTGTTCAGGGGCCCAGGGTAACCTCTCCCGGCGGAGCGCAGCTGCAGCAGGACACCGAAGGCAAGACAGGGAATTAAGACACAGAGTCCCGGGCCTGAAAGCAGAGAGTGGGTAGCAGAGAGGGGCCGAGTTACCCCAGTCTTCTCACTCGGCATTTCTTTGATGCCTCACTGGGCCTCAGTTTCCTCAAAAGAGTTAATAATACCCACCCCATGTGCTTGCTTTGAGGAGAGTGAGGAGTCCTGTGCATAGCATTTTGACAAATTGTAAAGCCCATCATTGGCCATGTTCAGCTCAAGGATCTCAGTTTGCAGCTTCTGTTTTCAGAGTTTCTGCCAACCCAAGGCTACCCCTGAAGGTGGCCCCTGGCTGCTCTCCTGGGCAGCCCACGTGTGAGCTGATTGCTGACCGATGGCTAGCAAGCAAACAGGTGGGACTGTCAGCCATTGGCTGGACGAGGATGAGGCAGGGGCTGACGGGTGGAGGGCGTGGCAGAGGCCCTGAGGTTCAGAGGCGGTATCCAGTGGAGGACCCGAGCTACTCTGGTTCCACAGGCAGGGAGGCTGCGCCGTCCTCAGCATTCTCCACGGACGGGCCAAGCTCCGGTGCATGAGCCCTGTGGGCCTCTCCGCCTCTTCTGTGCCATCTTGGAGGACTCCCTCTCCTCAGTAGCTTTCTTTACACCCGGTTTTGTCCACCTCAGTAAACAGGGGAGGCACCTCTGTCCTATTTCCAATAGCTCTGGGTAACCTAGGATCACCAGGCAGGGGAGAGACCGGGGAGCCAGCTCAGCCGCTTTCACCAGGAAAATCCAGGCTGGGTCGGAAGTCAGGCAAAATCTACTGAGGAAGCAGGGCTGAATCTGGGGTTTGGTAAAAGTGAGTTTCCGCTTCCATCCTGGAGGACATGACCACTTCCCTTTCTGTATCCTTCCCCCACCTTGCCATCACCAGAGACAGAACAAGTAAAAAAGACATGCCTTACCTGCTGTTCCTGCTCTCCGTGGTATGGATACTCCACCTGGGACCTTATTGCCTCCTGGACACTCACAATGTCTCCCCATCCTCAGCTCTCCAGCCCCTCCAGTAAAGAGCTTTGCTGAGCTGCACCAACACCATTGACTCCTACTATATAATGTCATATTCTGTGCTCCTACAACTTCATGCAAATGACAACTATACTGTCAGAATCTCTCAGGAATACTGGGTGAAGGCAGCATTTCTCATACAGGACACAGAATTTCGTTAAAAATGTGTGGGTTATAAACAGGTAGGATGGGTGTATCAGTCAGCAGTTGCTGCATAACAGGCCACCCATCAAACTCCAAGGGTCACAACCTCAGATATTTTTATGGTTGTGGTTCAGTTGCTCTAGAATAAACTGTTTCCAGCTACATGTTGGGTAGGCTTGGCTCCAGGTCAGGCTTGGACCCGCGCTGTGTGTATTTGTCACAGGGAGGTTGAAGGGTGTGCTCTTACGGTAGATTGCCAGAGTTCCAGAGCCAAGCCAAACCACGCACACACATGTAAGATTTCAGCTCATATCGTATTTACTAACATCCTGCATCGGTTATTTATTGCTGCAAACATAGTGGCTTAAAACAGCACTGACTGATTATTTCTCACAGTTCTGCGGGGTGACTGGCAGTTCCTCTCCTGTTCACACCCGGGCTCCCTTGTGCGGCTGCAGTCAGAGTGGAGGGCTTGGAAGGTCCAAGCTGATCTCCCTCGCTGGCTGGTCGTTGGTACTGGTCACCCAGCCTGCCTCAGTCCTTCCTGGGGGAGACTTCTCCTCCAGTAGGCTTGACTTCCTTATGTGGCGTTCTCAGGAAAGCCTTTTATGAGAACAAGAGTGGCCTTTTAAGACCGAGATTCCAAAATTTCACTTCTGCCACATTCCTTTGGTCAAACAAGTCACAGTCCATATCAGATGCAAGGGGATAGAGGGGGGAATAGATTCCTTCTCTGGATGGGAGGGGTGGCAAAGGATTTTTGGCGATTTTAATCTTCCATGCATTCTGTTGGCCAAAGCCAGTGATGGCCGAGCCTAGGGCAGTGGGGTGGGGCACTGCCCTCCACCCTCATTGGAGGGGGAGGGTGCAAATATTTGCTAAATACAATCCAGAGTGTGCACTGGGGTAAAGCATGGACTTTACAGTCAGCTGAGACTGGGTCTGAGTTCTGCCTCTGCTCAGCCAGGTAGCTTGGGTTGGGCAAGAACGTAGCCTCCCTGGACATCCATCTCTCCATTGGCAATAAGAAGTTAGTGTCACCTCTGGGCAGTGCCAAAGGCCAGGGAGCTTGGAGGTCACAGCCCAGCGCCAGGTCCTGGTCGGCACATCCCCTGGCTGCCTCAGGCTGAGGCGCTCCCTGCCGGTGCCGGGGGTGGCTACAGACTCCCCCTCCTCTCCTAACCTGCTCCTCCGGGAGAGGCTTTTAAAAAGCTGTCACCTCTGTGCTGTCATTGTTTTGCTTCTTTCCTGGTCATTCCCCCAACCTTTGCAACAGACCATCTGTCAGGCTTCTCATTACCTGGAGTGACATGGTCTTATTTACAGGACTGACTCTCAGTTTAGAGGAGAAAGGCATATCTTTGGCCCCAGCTAGCATAAATTACATGTCAACTTCATTAATACAGGCCAAGTCTTCAATTCCCATCCTAAACAAATTGAATTAATTACCATTGATCATTTAGCCATGACAATCAGAAATGAGGTTGCCCATCAGCTGCCTCTGGAATATGAGGCTCAAAACTGGGAGGGAGGCAGGTGGCCTCAGTGGTAGGGCCGGTTAGCAAGTCACTGAGTTATTCCTGCACCTCTGCTGTTTTGGGGGGTGATTTCCAGAGCAGCTCCTTCCTGCCTCTTTCCTGGTCACTGCTGCCTCCCCCGGATCTTCATGGCCCCCGTAAGAATGGGGTTTGGCATTAGGCAGAGCTGGATTTGGGTTCCAGCTTTGTCACTAGCTGTGGGACCTTGGGCAAGTCACAACCTCTCTGAGCCTCAGCTTCCTCTTCCAAATAGGGGCTTAGTGCACATACATCAGAGGCTTGTTGGGAGATTAAACTGAGATGAGATCGTGAAAGAACCTGCCCTTATGTGGGTTCATTCAGTAAATGTTTCTTCCTCTAAACCTTAATCTGAGTACCCACTGTGCACAGGGAGCTCGGGCGCGTGCACAGACAGACGGGCTTGTCACTTTGCATCCACTTTCTGGCCCCATGTTAGACCGTGAACTCCAGGTAGGCGGGGTCTGCCTGAACCCCACCGCCTCCCCAGTGCGCAGACATTTAGAGTGCTCAGGAGGATGGAGGAGCTTGACTTTGGGCCAGGGAATCAAGCACACGCCGACACACTCATAAGCCAGAGGCAAACTGACCGTCGCAGGCCCCGTACTCAGCACTTTCATGCAGGATCTCATCGGATCTCACAGCAACCCCGGCAGGTCATTATTCTCCCTGCTTTGTGAATGAGAAAACCAAGGCCCCAGAGGTAAGCCGCACAGATCCTAAGTGCCAGAGCCAGTAGTCACCCCGGGGCATCTGGCCCTGCGCTGTTCTTGCAAAGGACCTGGACCTTGAACGGAGGGCGGGGGTCTCCAGGGGAACAGGATGAGAGAGCGTTCCAGAGCATCAGGCCGGCCAGGCAAATGAAGAGCTCTCAGTGTGTCTGGAAACGTGAGGTCTAGTGTTTCCATAGCCGATAAAAGAGGACTGCGGTGGAACGGTGGGAGATGTTAGGGCAGGAGCCTGGCTCGAGGTCTCATGCGTGAGTGCCAGGCTGCGGAGCTGTGACTGACTGGTTAGGCACTCAGCCTCCACACACTGGGGCATGAATGAGTAGCTGAGGGTGCTGGAGGGGCGAGCAGGACGGAGGCCAGCGCTGGGTGGCCTGTGGTTCAGCCATGTGCACACCTGCTTAACACACACAGCGGCAACTCAGCCAGCCGCACAGATGCCCGTGTCTCCGATGCTGTTCTCTGGAGCGAGTGTGAACTCAGCACGGCTCACACAGGCCCTGATCGCGGCTTGCCTCCCAGCATGTCCTCCACCTCACTCCACATACCAGGCTCCAGCCAGACCATGTCTCTCTGTATCCCCTGTTCTAGGTACTCTCACTCCTTTCTCAACTCTCAGTTTGTCTGCAAGCTTTCCATTCGGAAATAGTAATAGTGACTT